ACCCCCCCCCCCCCCCCCCCCCCCCCCCCGTTTTGGAAGGGGATAGCTGAACTCGTCTTTAGGAGAGCTGCCTACGTATTCCCTTCGGAAATTAAGCCATCTCGTAGTTTTGATTGTTTGTGCGAGTATGCTTACTCGGCTGTCGCAGACTTTTCGATCACTTCAGTTGCTGGATCGATGTCTTTGTCCGGGCTTTTCTCCTCCGGCTGGGTAGAAGCAATGGGTGCGGAAACTTGCTGTTTCTCGACTGTTGCTTGCTTTGCGTCGTCTTCTGCGGGCGGTAGCGTGACCTTTGCCCGTTTTGGTTTCACGATTGCGACCGCCAATTGCCTCAGCTTGTGTTCGGCCAGGAAGCAGGATCCTGATTGTCTTTGGCATCCCCAAATTGCTGCAATTTCCGTAGGAGTCGAGAATTTGATGCCTAAGTGATACGTCGATAGATTCGCCTTCATGGAATTTATCCAAGGCGTGTACATGATCACATTGTAGATGGCCGGGAAATCGACTACCGCGAAGTTGACGATTTTTCGTCACTTCTTTGGCTGTCACCGGTAGCCGGATTGATCCCAAGGTCATTGATGTCTCGCCAAAAAATATGGTCAACGGTTTTGGAATAGGTTCGACTTCCGAAAGTTCTATTCCCATACGTGCTAACGTGTTGCGGAAGATCACGTTGACGATACTTCTGGTATCGACCAGGATTCGAGCGACTTCTAAATCGCTTATCACTAAGTCGATGACAAGGGGATCGACATTAGGTTGGTGGTGAAAGCTCTGAAAATCGTGTGTCTGCTTCTTCCCCATGCCTCTTGCTTATAGACTCCCTCCTAGGCGGTTTAAGTCATTCCATTTCGCCCGAATTCGAGTTTATCGGGAATCTTCCATTTATCTCGATCCTTCCTTTTTTCCCGCCGAAATCTTCTATTTATCTTCAAACTTGCCATTTATTTTCAAACTTGACATTTATCTTCCTTCTGCAAGTAAACCATCAAAACGTTATCGTATCTTCGGGTTAGATTTCGATAAGATAGCGAGATGGGCTCTTATCGCGTTTTAGGACCTTTCGGGCCGGTTTACGATAAATCCATTTTACGACTTTATATGAGTTTGTTTCCTGATCCGATGCCGTTTTTAGTAAATTCCCCGGGTTTATCGTCAAGTTTATCTACGTTTGTTCCTTGGTTAACATTTTTACGATTCATTCAACGCTTTTTATTAAAAACGCGTTTTTACGATTTTTACAAAAAATCTCGAATAAATCATATAGTTTAGGCAATGTTCGGTTTTTCGTTTAACCGTTGCCGTTTTATACGATTTCCTCGAGTCCTTTTCGAGAAAACAAAGTTTTACAGTTTTTATCGTAAAACTCGAATGATAGGAGGATCGAGACGGAACTGGAGACATTTCGACCGTGGTTCGGTACACGATCGTGTCGAAGGACGTAAGCCTTGAATCGGGGATATGGGAGATTGAGGCTCGGGACGGTCGGTTTGACGTATGGCGAGTCGAACCGGACCGTTTCAGCTAGCCGTTTGGCGAACTGCCCGGGAAGCTTCTAGCTCGCCCAACGGCGAGCTAGTTGGGACGAGACTAGCTCGCCCAACAGCGAGCGGCGAGCTAGTCGTGACGTGAATAGACTAGCTCGCGTTTTACGGCGGTTTCGGTTTTTCGTGGTTTTGGCTTAACTCGGACGATCGTGTAATTGACGTTTGTTTCGTTTCCCCGAGATAACGATCTTCCGAGTTTTCCGCGGATTTCCTTTGTTCGGAAATCTCTTTTGGATTTATAAAACGATTTCTCTAGTTTTATAAAACGATTCTTCGAGTTTTATAAAACGATTCTTCTAGTTTTATAAAACGATTCTTCGAGTTTTATAGAACGATTCTTCAAGTTTTATAAAACGATTTCTCGAGTTTTTTAAAACGATTCTTCGAGTTTTATAAAACGATTCTTCGAGTTTTATAAAATGATTCTTCGAGTTTTATAAAATGATTCTTCGAGTTTTATAAAACGATTCTTAGAATTTAATAAAATGATTTCTTTTATCTTTTTTCGGGGAGTTTTGGCTATTGATTCCGTCGTACCGATTTTGACCCCAACAAGTGTTTTGAGTCTTGTGTGTTTTTCGAAGTTTTTCAGTGTTGATTCACAAGATGTGAAGTCAAGTAAAGCTGATTAAACAAGGTAGTGTGTAATTTATTTAAAGAACTTCAGTAAAGTATTCAATTTGGAATTCGAGAGATTATTTATGTGCTCTAGGTTTTTCATCTACCACACACCCCTGCGACATGCACATGAACTATTAGTGCTACCACACATTCTAAGCTCTTCTTCTGCACCAAATAGGGTTACCACTCATAAACAAACAAAAAAACAGTGATTTCCCTTTAATCTAAGTTTTAGACCACGATCAAAGACTTGATCACACTCCTACCCGCTTAGAACCTCCTTTACACAAAAATAGCTTAGGAGGACTAACAGCTTAAGTGAGTAAGAACACTTTAAAACTCAAAACTGAAACCTTACCACCATTAGAAACACACAACTAAGGATATTAAACTACGGATCAGCCATCACACAGCCTCCTAACACACACCTTACACTCACACACAATTTAAGCAGTTTTTTCCTATTTCACTATCAAACGGGGAAAACTAAGAACGACAGATAGATAAGGTCTTGGAGTGAAATGGTTCTCATTTCTGAACTTAAAGATCTTTTTTTATAATTAAAGATCCTTTTTATAGCCATAGATTGCATGGAAGCCCCTTCTGTCCAAAGAAGTTTCATTACCAAAAGCTCTAAAAACATGCATTGGTGGAAAGTGATAAGAAACATTTTCATTTCACTTATCTTTATATCCATGAGCTTAGATACTCTACTAGGCTCAGTCTACAAATTTTGGCTGGAAAACTTACATGAAAAGTCACTTTTCACATACCCTTATTTTCTGTCCATAAACCACATAAGCTGAGACCAAGTGTTGTTATACGGTCTAGCCTTACTCTCCTATCACAATGTAGACTCCAACAAGTGTAGAATGTACCTATGCATCCCCAAAATCTTGCCTGACATGTCTCCACCAAATTTCTTTACTTGCCACAAAGGAATTTTTTGGTATTTTGGGGAATGAACAGTACCAAGCCCTTATCCTCCTCTACTCTAGCTACAGACTGACAAAATAAGTCATATGGGTCCTATTGTACCTTTAGATGTCGTGTGTCATTTGATGAAAAGTTATTCCCCACTAATTCTCCTTTATATGCAAATGTTCCCATTTCAAAGACAAAAAGAATCATTCACCATAAATTTCTTAGTTGACTCCACATACTTCCCTGGTTTGAAGGAATTTCCCCCCTCCATGTAGCTCCATCTCAATTGTTGTATCGAGAAAGCTATATGGCACCATCTAAACCATTGACTTTTGTTGAATTTTCCCCACTTGAGTTGATTTCTTTCTTAGGACATAACTTGTAAAAAAATACTCATTTGGTTCAATAACACATGCTTACACATATTCATTTGGCAATCACCTCACCGGACGAGCCAATTGGGCTATATCGACTAAAATCAGGTTCTTCCGAACCATCATGATTTCACCTCGACCAAACTCCATGATAAACCTCCAAATACCTTAGAAAATGTTCCTATATTTACCCCCAAACTCATGGGTTCATGTCGGTCCTCTTTGTCCATCTACCACTATTGCTAACCTCCATCGACCACACTGAAACCTCCATCGGCCATCTCCAATTTGTTTGAGCCAAATGGATTTCTGACTCGACCAAAAGTATTTTTTTCAAATTTATTAGTGATTAAGATTGAACCTTACTTGATTTGAGGACTTTGAAAATAATATCGCATCTTTGGGTCCTCTTTTCGACCAATTTTATTTATACTCAACCCATTTTCAATCTTCTTTGACCAAACCTCCATCATATCTTTTACTAGTAGTTTACTCATAGCGTTAATCTCTTCTATGTCGTTAAGTTTCTGCTGACTTCCTATTGAAGATCAGAGGTATTACATTCTCCCATTATTAAAATAAAATTGTCTTGAATTCATGTCTTACACATGCTTCTGCTGTGCAACTCAGACTTCTTATCCTTCTTCTAACTTCCATTCGGCTCAGCCATATATTAGCCACTTCATCACCTTCCAATATACTCGAACTCTAACTCTTCTTGCATCTTTTACAACCTTCATCACCTTTCCCTTCTTTGCTATGATTCTCATATCTCAAATGGCTTCAGTTCACTGATCTTATTCTCATTGATCATTTCTTTCTCCTTGCACTCTTCACAAAGTCCAACTCTTTCGTAGAATTCAAATGATGTTCTATAGATTTCATTGGTACACTGACATGGATTTAAAAATAGTTAGATTAATCATATATCCTAAATTATCAAATGAGTTAAAAGAATAAATTCTGATCAGTTTTAAATCTATTAGAATTAACTTCAAGTTATATAACCAATAACATCCCCTAGTTTTATTTGACAAAATAAATAAATAAATAAAGTCAGCCATTGGAAATGATTTTGTGCAATCTTGATTGTAGAGGAGATTAAAGATGTGTCAATGAATTTGAGTCCCGGAATAGCTTGGAAATGACATTGTGGAGATTGATGGATTGTGTTGAAAACTATAAAACCAAAATCAAGTGTTCAAGTGGCATGATGAAACACATCTCGAGTATTTGATGCTTTAGCAAATAAACAATCTACGATGGAGATATATTTAGCTGAGATAAAATGAGGCATTGTTGATATGAAGAAACACATGGGTGAGATCATTAGGGTGATTGAAAGTTACAGAAATCACAGTGTCTTTGATCCAAAAAAGAATCTCAGTGTCCAACCTAATTTCATAAGTGTCTCATGGGTTTGCTTATACGTACAGAACAATCTGAACGTAACAATGACATTGCTTTTTGCTTACATGGCTTTATTCTGTAAATCTCAAAATCCCTCAAGAATCCTTTCTTTCATTAATCTTACCATGATAAGTAGATTCATCTCTGGTTGTTTCAAAAGAGATTTCATTTAGGAAGGAGCAGCAGGACTTTTAACCTCTCGAGAGTCAGTGCTAGATGATCCTTCACCTTCACTACTTTGGAGCTCTTCGCTCGACAAAGCGACATGTCTGAATTTCTTCATGTCTGCATTGTACGATGTCTGGCTATAATCCGAGCTAGTTCCAGATGTCCCGTAAACGTTGCTATTTCCAGGCTTCACACCTTCGTTTAGAGCATCCAGTGACATTTCTCCTTCTAGTGCTCTTACAATCTCAATATACATAAACAACACATTATATTATCAAGTTACTATAAGTAAAATAGAGATTTGTGGGGTTGCTATTTTGATTCACCTGGCTCATCTTTGGGCGTTTACGCCCAGAATGGCGAATACTAGCAGCAGCACAAGTCACCATTCGAGCCATTTCTTGTGGGTTGTAGTTACCTTCAAGCCTAGCATCTGCAAGCTCATTAAAGTTTCCATCTTCTAGCGCGCGAGCCATGATTGGACGAGCCTATATTTGTAACAAAATGCTATTATTAACAACCAAAATAAAAAGGCAAAAAAATACAAAAATTCTTATAAGCAAGAAGAGAGGAAATATTAAAAAAAAACATATATACCCAATCTACTAAAGTGTCATCCATGGTGCTGCTACTATCAACCGGTCGTTTTCCAGTGATTAGTTCCAATAACATGACACCGTACGAGAAAACATCTGATTTCTCTGTTAACTTACCACTTGATGCATACTCTGGAGCTAGATATCTACACATGTTTGTGTAAAGAATCAACTTGGTCACGCTATAATGGCTAAAAGTAGCGAGTAAGATCTTATCTACTAAACGAACACTTACCCAAAAGTTCCCATCACACGGGTAGATACATGAGTGTAGTTATCAGAAGTTAATTTAGCTAATCCGAAATCAGCCACCTAAAAAGACAAATGCTTAAAGTCATCATCTTTAGCAATCTTTGTATCAACATAAGCCAAAAATGAACGTAGCCACTAGTTTATCACCATTGCATCAAAGTTAAAGTCCAAGAGAATGTTTGCAGACTTGATGTCACGGTGAATGATCCGAGGATGACCTGCGGTGATTTATTAGTGTTTTGTAACAATGGTTATAAAATGAAATTTGGTGAAATATTGAAACTTACAGTCTTCATGAAGATAAGCAAGTCCTTTCCCAGACCCTAAGGCGATCCGCATCCTGGTGGAGAAATCCATTACTCGAAGATTCTTCCCTGCAAGAAGCACAAAGTTTAAAACCTTTTGAAATTATAGACACTAGAGAAAACATTGTGTTGTAACTTTAAGTGTCTTACCATGAAGATGATACTCCAAAGTATTATTAGGAACAAATTCATAGACCAACATTCTCTGTGCATCAGCTATGCAATATCCAACCAAAGAAACAAGATATCGATGATGCACACGACTAATGATATCAACCTCAGCTTGAAATTCTCTTTCTCCTTGTCCGCTACCAGATTTTAAGCTCTTAACTGCCACTTCTTTACCGCTAGGTAACACCCCTTTATGGACATAGCCGAAACCTCCCTGTCCCAAAAGGTTAGAATCTGCAAACCCTCCGGTTGCGGCTGCGAGCTCTTGGTATGTGAAAGTGCTTTTGTTAAATCCAAGGGCTAGTGTAGGCGGAGGAGGAGGTAAAACCGGGCGTGCTGGTCCTGAGTACAAGGAGGAAGCTTCTCCACTTGTAGGTATCTGCTGATGAGGAGCTGGTGATGGTCCACCGCCTCCCCAACTATTAGGAGGTTTTTGGTTTTGACCTTGTGAATTTAGGTGCCAATTTGGGTAATTCTGTGAAGAATTTTTGTTGTTTCCATAGTATCGATATTGATTTTCTGAGATAATATGAAAAATGTTTAAACCTTTGATACCAGCACACATGTAAATATGTGTATTTAGTTTTACCTTTCATGGATTCACCGTAGAAGGAATCTTTTCTCTTCTTTTTGCGTCTAAGGCACACAATAATAAGCACAATCATTAATAGTCCAGCACCAACTAGTACACCTATAATGATCGCCGTATTCGTATTATTTCCTCCACCACTACCGCCACCACCCCCGCTAGAAGGAGAATTAACTGAGCGAGAGCCCCCATTGTTTCCAGACGGTGACGTTCTGCTGCTACCATTATCTCCGCCCCTAGAAGGAGGAGAAGGAGGGGAGCCACGTGAAGGTGGAGACTCATTGCCGCCACCATTTCCTCCCCCGCCTTGTGATGCCGGAGAAGGAGGAGAGTTTTTGTTGGAAGTGGGAGGAGAAGGACCTTGTGGAGCTGGTGGCGAGCTGGAATCAGGAGGTGGAGATGATGAGTCTCCTTGAGTAGGAGAAGGAGGAGACGGTGGAGTGGAGGAGGTTGAATTGGAATTAGACGGTGGAGATGGAGAAGAGCTTGAATTGACGGAGGAGATGATTCAGGGAAAGAAGCCATCAGAGAAGAAGAAGAGTAAATCTCAGAAATAAAAACTCTATGCCTTCTCTCCCCTTAATCACTCAAATTGTCTGAAAAACCACAGACAACAAAACATTGAGTAAATTTGGACAAGGTTTTTTTGTCTTATTATGTCGTTGGATATCTAACAACTAACAACAAACAAGATAATGCTAAACTTGAGAGATTTAATACCAAATTAGCAAGAAATAGAGAGTTTTTGGCAAAAAAAAAAGAAGGAGATTTGCTCTGTCTTCATCCCGATAAGGATGCCTCTTCTCTCTGAGTCCTCTGTCTTAGTAACTGTTTTTGTGCTAGTTAGTTAGTTGCATTGGTCTTATTTTTCTCATTTTGGCTCCGTGATACTAGGAGTTGAAGATGTTGATTTATTTCCACGAAACTTCATGCAGTATTTTTACTTTTCGTTGAGGATTTCAATTTCAATTCTGGTCCGTTCGATCTAAACAATATCATATCTTTTCATTTTTTTTTTTTTTTTTTTGACAACGAAAGGCTGATCTATTAATCAAGCTTGAGGTGGTCTGGGAATCCAGACCGGAATCGAACAACCAACAAACAAAAGATCACGATAGAAGGATCGTGCAGTCTTAGCTAGATGATTAGACATAGCATTTAGAGATCTAGGTACATAAGAGATTTTGAATTCTGGGAAACAAATCCTCAGCGTCGAGATCCTCTCCAATTCCGTCGAAAAGCTTGGCCATCCATGAGGATTCATGAGCATTGCTATCAATTCTTTGCTGTCCATTCCAAAGCTCTGACATGACGAATGTTGAAGCATGTTCTCCATTGCCCACCGCAGCGCTTTCAGCTCCGAATGCAAAGCCGACTCCACTCTACTCATATTGCGCATCCCCATCAACTGACTATTTCCCATGCTGTCCTTCCAGACCCAACCACAACCAGATAACTGATCCATAGAGGTCCAAGAACCGTCTATCATACATATTTCTCGTAGGCTTATGGCCTGATATTCATTATCATCGTTCTCATGTGTAATCACAGCCTCCTACTCATTAGCTTGGAACCAGGCAAGACACTCACGCTCTGCATATCGGGCCAGTTCCAGAGGGTCTCTATCTATTCCCCTGAATAACTTATCATTCCGAGCCTTCCAAATGTACCATATTATCCAAGGATAAGGATCCTTGTCTAGTTCTGGCCCACAAATGATCTTTTTCCGCCAGAATAGGTAATCCATGTTCGTATATGTGCTCTCTAGAGGAAATAAAGCTGGGCTGGTGGGTATAGATGCTAGGGCCCATACCTGTAAAGCCGGTGGGCATTGAAAAATTGCATGTGCAATTGTTTCATCCGGTTCTCCGCATCTTGGGTAGAAATTATCGCATCTTATGTGTCTATGATTCAACGCACTCGTAACATCTACCTTCCCTGATATAATCTGCCACATAAGATGACACATCTTCAGGGGTGCTTTAACCTTCCAAACGTGTGCTTGAAGCCTTTTAATGCTGGGTTCATCCACCAAGTTCCCATCCTTCTTCATTAGAATATTACGAGCTACCCAATATCCGGACTTGACAGTATACTGCCCACTCCTTGTGTAGCTCCAGCAGTGAGTATCCCTTCGATGGGTTGAACTAATAGCCATACTCCTTATGAGAGGTATATCGGCAGCGTCGACATAATTTGCTAATCAGTCCAGATCCCAAGACTTTGTTTCTTGATTGATAAGATCACTGACTCTCATATTCGGGTGAAGAACCGGAGCAGATGCACGCGCTGATCTCGCTGGAATTGTGGGAATCCATGGGTCCTCCCATACCTTAACCTCATAGCCTGAATGAATCTTTTGTCTTACCCCCAATAGCAGTAATTCTCGCGCAGCCGATATGCTTGTCCACACATACGATGGACTGCTGATAGGAAGCTTCCGCAAAGGCGAGCTTTGTCGATAATATCGCCCTCTCATAACTCGAGCAACCAAAGAATCTGGGTTTTGTGCCAATCTCCACAGCTGCTTTGCCAAGAATGCCAGGTTAAACTCATGGATCATCCTGAAGCCAATTCCGCCTTCCTCTTTAGATAGGCATAACTTGTCCCATGTTGTCCAATGTAAGCCTCTCTTTGGCGGGTTTGAGCTCCACCAAAACTGTGCAATGGCACTAGCCAAGGCATCACATATCTCCAAAGGAAGCAAAAAGCAAGACATAACATAGGTTGGTAGTGCTAACAAGATTGACTTAATCATTACTTCCTTTTCGCCTCTAGACAACCACCTACCCGTCCATCCATTCACTCTGTTCCTAAGTTTGTCTTTTAAGAAAGCAAACAGCTTACATTTCGATCCACTGATATCCTCTGGTATTCCTAGGTAGGAACCCATTCCTACATCATTTTGGATCCCAAGTGTATCCTTAATCTCTTGCCTGGCCTCAAGACCGATCCTCTTACCAAAGAGTAAGGAGGATTTATCGAAATTGATGCACTGTCCAGAGGCTTGTCCATATTTCCTAACCGCTTTCATTACTTCTTCACATTCACGGGGCTCCACCTTGCAAAAGAAAAGGCTATCATCAGCAAAGAGTAGGTGGGATACCGACGGAGACGCACGCGTGATGCGCATCCCCGTCATCTTTCCCTGATTCTCTGCGTGATTAAGAAGGCTAACGAGCGCTTCCGTGCATAGAATAAAAATGAAAGGGGACAAAGGATCTCCCTGACGTAGACCTCTCCCCGGGACAATATTCCCTCGTGGCTGTCCATTCATTAGTACCTTATAATTTACTGTCGTTATACATCGCATAATCCAGGTAATCCAGACTTCTGAGAATCCCATCTTTCTCATGGTGGCTTCAATGAAAGACCATTCCATACGATCATATGCTTTACTCATGTCTGTTTTGATGGGCATCCTCTTATTGCGTCCACTTGGTTTTGTTCTTAAGGCATGGAACAGTTCCTGGGCTATCATTATGTTATCTGATATCTGTCTCCCAGCAACAAAGGCTAACTGGATTTCAGAAATCTTATCTGGGAGAACCTTCTTCAGTCTTTGGCATAAGACCTTTGAGATAATCTTATAGCAAACATTACAAAGACTGATGGGTCGTAGTTGGCTCATCTGGTTTGGCTTATCAACTTTTGGGATAAGGCATATATTAGTTTCATTAAGACCAGTCGGAATAGTTCCTTGAAATAGAAATTCATTAACCATACGAGTTAAGTCCTCCTTGACAATATCCCAAAAATTTTGATAGAACAAAGCTGTCATTTTGCCCGGTCCAGGAGCTTTCTCAGGATGCATAGCAAAGAGAGCTAATTTAACTTCCCACTCTGTAACCGGAGCTGTGAGTCCCTCATTGTCTGTAGGCGTAATCGTCGTGGTAACTTCAGAAAGAGCCTCCTTAATCTCTTCAGGGTTCGATGATTGAAAGATTTGGCGAAAATAGCTAGTAGCAATGGCTACTAGGCCTTCCTCATCCTCCACAACATACCCATCTGCATCTAAAAGTTGGGTTATCCTGTTCCTTGCTCTTCGCTGCTTCGTCAAACCATGGACAAATTTAGTGTTTCGGTCACCCTCCCTTAACCAGAATACCCTGCACTTCTGCTTCCACAATAATTCCTCCGCCTTAAGGGCATCAGACAATTCTTTGAGAGCCGCCGCTATCTCCTTAGTAGTGGCATCATCATTAGAGGATAAACGATCCCCCTTTTCCTTCAACTTCTCTATACTTTTCTCTAAATTCAGATTGTGTTGTCTTTTTCAATCACATAGCGCTCGCCTGCAGCTGATAATATGTTCCATAATACTTGCACCCGGTGGTAGATCTGGCGATTTCCAACTTTCAAGTATAATCTGTCTGAGTTCCTCATTCTGGAGCCATCGCTTATCAAATTTAAAGTTTTTAGACCTTCGTTGCTTTTTCCTGAGAATATCTGCTAGGATTAGACGATGGTCCAACCCCCAAAGTCGTAGGTATTGCATTTTTGAATGTGGGAACTTCTCATGCCAGTTCTCATTGAATGTTAACTTCTTTTCTGAAAAAGAAGCATTGTATAATGAAAGTTGAATGTTAATTTAATTCCACGAAACCTCATGCACTATATATTTTTATTTTGTTACCGAAATATAGCCAAAGAAACCAAACTATATTTTCGAAAACACTAACCTTTATATTTGGCGTTTAAACTTTAAACTTTCATTAAATGTACAAATAGTCTTTTCTCTTAGAAACCAATTCCAAAACTAAATGAATTTTCTATCTAAATGTAGTGGTTTTACTTGTAGTTTAAGTTATCTAGCTCATGATATTGTTAATGTTGATCCGATGATATGTGTGTGTGTTTGTGTTTGCAGCGATATAAACGACACAATAGATTAGAGTTCTCAAAGCTATTAACGAAGCCTTGGTACGTCTCCAGAAAAAGGAATTCAATTATAAGCTGCGAAATCACACACCAAGCTCACACCTCTCACCAATAACTCTTGTCACTCACCTAGAACGTATACAGGGTACACCATAACAAGATGATCACACACCCGATTCCGCACGTGTTTCTCTTATCTTCTCAGATCCTTATGTGATGTAATACTTTCTCAGGTTAGATTCGTTTCCTTTCTCCTCTTATACTAGCTTAGTTCCTTTTCATCCATTCTGCAACTTGTGTGTCAACTCATTCTTCTATAACGGATTCGTACATGGCATGTTTACACTCCGTTCTAGTCACACACAGAACAAACCTGATCAAAATGCTAAGTATAAGACTTTGGGCTTCTCCACTTGACTTCAATTTCTCCTGGGCCTCGACACAAATCCACTCGGCCCATACTTTGGTCTTCATAGTCCATAACCCAGATTTTGACAAAACACTTGTGACAAATCTCCAGCTTGTTTTTCCAAACCCGACAGCCACTTAAGGTAGCTATGCCTTCCCTTTCTCAACACTAACCTTGTCAGAAAATAACCATAGATAGGAATCAACCTAGTTATTGTTGATGAGAACCCTCAATCGATTCCTGCCTTCTTTAAACTTCTTCACCGATACATTCTTCTTCGTGAGAATATCAGCAGGATTCT